TTTTTTTTTTTTTTTTTTTTTTTGTAGCAGGGATTAAACTCAGGACCTTGTGCTCGCCAGGCAGGCAATTAGGCTATTGAGCTGTATATCCCAGGCTCATATACTTATTTTGAGACAGGGTATTACTAAGTCCCAAGATTGTCTAGGATGGGCCCAAATTTGTGAATGCCAGAATTACAGACATGTACCTCAACAGCTGGCTAAGAGGGGACTCATGGAGCCCAAGGAGTTAGTCTTGAATTGGCTGTACTTCTAGAGCTCTTCAATAATAGACAACATTTGGAGTAAAAAAAAAAAAAAAAAAAGGGAAGGGATCAAAAGCTTGCAGGTTAAAATATTTTCCTAACGGGACTGGCAATATGGTTCATTGGTGGAGTTCTTGCCTAGCATGCACAAGGCCCTGTGTTTAATCTCTAGTGCCACAAAAACAAAAGGCCCAGAGAGGGAATTGGGCCCTGGGAGATGGCTCAGTGGAATAAGCGTTTCCCTGGCAAGTGCAAGGACCTGAGTTCAATCCCAGGTTCTGGAAAAAAAAAAAAAAAAAAAGGCTCAGGGAGATAGCTCAGTAGAATAAGTGCTTGCCTGAAGCACAGGGTCTTGAGTTTAATCTCCAGTAACACACACACACACACACACACACACACAAAGGAATAAACATTAATGGTGTTTAATTTAGGTTTGTTTTTAAGTTGAAGAGGAAAAGTAGAGTGTAAAGCATTTTAGCAGCACCACTATTCATGTATGCTCTGGAGAGGCTCCTGCTGCGGTCTGTCATCTCCATATACACTGTCAACCACTCTGCCTCTTTGTCATGTTGATTTAAAACATTTGTTACTTTGGCTTTTTTTCCCCCCTTTGGGTCCGTGTCCTGAGAATATAAGCCCTAAAACAGAGATAATCTCATTATTTTCTCTAGACCTGGCATTGCCCTGCCCATCCACTAGTTTGGGACCTTTCTCCATGTTGTACCTCCATCCAGTTCCATGAACTTATGTAAACAGTACAGAAAGTATCCTCACATACCATCACTCAACTTCAGAAATTAGCCACTTAGCTGGGCATGATGATGCAAGACTATAATTGCAGCCCTAGGCTGAGACAGGAGGATTGCCATAAGCTTAAGCTTAGACTGGGCTATGTGGTGAATTCCTGTCACAAAAAAAAAAAAAAAAAAAAAACCCAAAAAAAACTTGGGCGGGTGAGAGCTCAGGGAACTAAAGTGCCTGCTTAGGCAAGCTTAGGCAAAGCACAGGGACCCCCAGCATCACATGCCACACCAGCCCCACTCCCAGGGCTGGCTGAGCAGGCCAGAGTCCGGGTGTAGTGGCACACACCTAAAATCCCAGTATGAGGGAGGCTGAAAGGAAGATCACCAAGAGTCTGGTTTTTTTTTTAACAGAACCGGGGATTGAACTCAGGTCCTTGTGCTTGCCAGGCAAGTGCTTATTCTACTGAGCTATCTCCCCAGCCCCTAGGAGTCTGAAATGCATAGCAAGACCCTGCAACAACCAAATACATAAACAAAGCAAAACAAAAAAAACTTGGGATTGGGGAGATAGCTCAACACTCTAAGTGCCTGCCTGGCAAGCGCAGGACCTGGGTTGGGTTTTTTTTATTTTTTTATTTTTTTTATTTTAGGGAAGGATCTACAGGGTGTTCAGGGTCTCACTACTAGATCAGACTTGTAGTGATCTGCCTGTTTACAGCTTTCCAAGAGCTGGGATTACAGGCGTGCACCACCATGCCCAGTCTCAATTGCCATCACAGCATGTCCTGGGGGTGGCCCTGGCAAGGCTGGGAATTGACCCCCAGGCCCCTGCGCCTGCTTGCAGACGTTTTAATCCACTGAGCTATTTGGCCAGCCCAGGACCTGGATTTAATTCATGGTAGCACATACTGTGCCACACTGGGTGTGCTGTGCCAGACACTGAAACAGGATGGTGGTGCATGCCTGTAATCCCAGTGCTAGCGAGGCTGAAATAGGAGGATCACTATGAGTCCAAGCTGTATAATGAGACCCTGTACCAAATAAATAAAAGATTTTTTTAAAAAATCTTTATTTGGGGCTGGTGAGATGGCTCAGTGGTCTAAAGCACCTACTTAGAACAAGCTAAGCCAAGCAAAGCACAGGGACTGCAGTTCAATCCCCCAGC